TACTACACTTTGGGACCGTTTAAGATAGTGAAATTACTAATAAAAATGTGGAAAATGTGACACTAAATAGACCATGGAAATGACACTTTTTTACAGTATGAGAACTGAAGCAAGAAGGCAGAACATTGTCTTGTTTGGCCTCAGCTGGGAACATGCACTTTAGGCAATTCAAATTTTTTGCTGCTCTCTATGTGTCCCTGAAAGCTGGTGAAAGTACCATGAGAATTGATTTGGGGTTACAAATAAATCGTAGCAAGTAGGTGAATTTGTAAATAAATAATTTGAATAATAAGAATTGACTATATCTTATCTTTCTAGAATGTTTTGTCTTCCTTTAAAGAGTGTTGAGCTTTGGGGGACATTGAATTTTTTTCTGGCAGGCTATTACTTATCTAATGTCTAAAAATATTTGTTCCATATATTTTATTTATATTTGTTTACAGCAAGAAGGTAAATCTGATGCTCATTTCTCCATCATGTTCAAATCATCCCTGCATTTGGAGGGTGTGATGGTTAATACTGAGTGTCAACTTGATTGGATTGAAGCATGCAAAATATTGTTCCTGGGTATGTCTGTGAGGGTGTTGCCAAAGGAGATGAATATTTGAGTCAGTGAACTGGGAGAGGCAGACCCACTGTTAATCTGGGTGGGCGCCATCTAATCAGCTGCCAGCGTGACTAGAATAAAGCAGGCAGGAGAAGGCAGAAGAGTAGACTTGCTGAGTCTTCCGGCCTTCACCTTTCACCCGTGTTGGATCTTTCCTGCCCTCGAATATCAGACTCAGCTTTTGGGCTCTTGGACTTACACCAGTGATTTGCCAGGGGCTCTTGGGCCTTTGGCCACAGACTGAAGGCTTCACTGTCAGCTTCCCTACTTTTAAGATTTAGCGACTCGGACTGGCTTCCTTGCTCTTCAGCTTGCAGACAGCCTATCGTGGGACTTCACCTTGTGATCGTGTGAGTCAATTCTCCTAATAAACTCCCATTCATATATACATCTATCATATTAGTCCTGTCCCTCTAGAGAACCCTGCCTGACTAATACAGAAGGAAAGGCATAAATGAAATAGTCACTCATCTCCCAACAGCTGTTGTGTGTATGTGGATGAAAAGGGGTGCAGAGTTACCTATGCAAAATGTGGTCATTGTATAAAGAACGACTTTTCAACACTGTGCTAGGGGTTATGAGAAATAAAAGAGAAGGCAAAACCCAGCTCTTTTTCCTAAGGACTTTAAGTTTCAGTTGGAAGGCAAGTTGTCATATGTGAAATGTCAATGTTTATCGTACTTCAACCGCTACCACACTGGTCCTAACCCTGTTCCTCTGAGTCTTCCCCAGAAAATACTTATGGAGCTGTCTTCAGGCTGAGAAGCCAAGGAAAATTTCCTTGGGTATTGTACACAATACCCTCAAATTGTTGTATTCTACTGAGGTCCTATGTTTGCCATTTAGAGCCACCAACTCATTCTGTTTTGAGTAGAACTTTCCAGAAAAAGCCTTGTTTCAGGAACCCCATCAGTCCTGGGAAACTAGAATGGTTGGCTATCTGAGCCCATATTACTCACAGCATTGCCAGTGCCAGCCTGGGTGACTGAGTGAGACTCTGTCTCAAAAACAAAAACAAAAACAAAAAAAATGTTCCTGAGAGTTTCATACATTTTTTGGTCATATCAGCATGCAAATAAGATCCACATATCACAATTGGTTGATATGTCTTTTAAGTCTCTTTTCATCTATAGGTTCCTCCACTATTTCTTTTTTTCCCATTAGAATTGATTAGTAAAGATACTAGTTAATTTTTCCTATAGAGTTTCCCACTGTCTATGGATTTTGCTGATTATATCCTAGTAATATATTTCAAGTAAACTGGTAGTTAGATCTAGGGGGTTGTTCAGATTCAGGTTTGATTTTTTAGCAAGACAATTTCACAAGTGGTGCTGCGTACTTTCATCAGAGGTACGTAATATCTGGTTGTCTCTCTTCTTGTGATGCTGGCAGACATTGATGACCATTGCTTAGTCCATTATTTCATTGGAATTGTCAAATGGCAATATTCAATCATTCTTTCTTCACTCATTAACTGGAATACTCCTATGAAAAGAAACTCCCCATCAACAAATTTTTTACTACCCCATGGTACAATTGTATAGAAAAGACTTCAGTGACAACTTTGCTGATAGATCTCCATATGCACCTGTGAAAGGAAAATAAATCTTGGGACCCCAAAATCACTAAGCTAAAGGAAAAAGTCAAGGTGGGAACTGCTTAGGGCAAATCTGCCTGCCATTCTATTCAGAGTCACCCCTCTGCTCACTGAGACAGACGCCCATCTGATTGTCTCTTTTGGAGAGGCTAATCAGAAACTCACAAGAATGCAACCATTTGTCTCTTATCTACCTATGACCTGGAAGTCCCCTCCCCACTTCAAGTTGTCCCACCTTTCTGGACCAAACCACAAACCAATGTTCATCTTACATATGTTGATTGATGTCTCATGTCTCGCTAAATGTATAAAGTCAAACTGTGCTCAGACTACCTTGTGTACATGTCATCAGGCCCTCCTGAGGCTGTGTCACGGGCACATGTCCCCAACCTTGCCAAAATAAACTTTCTAAATTATCTGAGACCTATCTTAGATATTCAGTGTTCAAATTTCGGTAACCATGAAGGGATTCTGAGTGGAGGTACCCCTGACCTTTGACAAATCTCATAGTGGTGCTTGGTAGCAGCATGAGCAACTTTATGGCTCAAACCAATAGGACAATTTGCTGAGGTCCGGGAGCACCCCCTCCAAAGAATCCCTGATATCCCTAAATGTGGTAGAGATGTAAAGTTTATTTTGCTGTACAACTCCCGTTTTTTGGAGTTTTACTTGCTTCTAACACGGAAGGCAAGATTCCCTGCTTCCATTATGATGGAAAGCAAGTAACTCCTTTATGGAATTTGAGCTCATTCCCAATAAGAAAGACGAGTTTGAGTTTTTTTCCTGCTTCTACAAGCAGTCTTCAACCTGAGACTCACTTCTAGGTAAGTTAATAACCAGCTAGTCTTAATTTCTCCTTACCATTAGAGCGTTCAGTGATCATATTGTTGGGGTTTTTTGTTGTTGTTTGTTCTGGTCTTTCTCCCATCAGATTTGACCAACTCTACCTGACTTGGTCAAATCCCAGTGAGAACTCCAAATTATGGGTAACAAAGCCTCTCTAATTTGGCTAAAATTCCTCTGCAGCTACAAAAGAGGAAAAAACAGAACAAAAAGCCATGCGCTTGGATTTTGTGTTTGCTTCCTGTCTTAAAAAACAAATGTTCTTTCGTTTACTTTTCTTCTGCCATCTGCAGTACCAAAAAATCTAGAGAAGGCTTCCAATGACTTGAGCCCCTTTCAAGAATTCAGAACAAAGACACCACTCACCCCTTTTGGGGTGTTCTGTTTTCCTTGTGGAGTTTCAAGAGTCATGGACAGATTTTTCTTAGGTCTAAAGCTCTGTTTTCCTGTATTGCATAACCTGACCTTTTTGGCTTTGGGAGTACCAGAAATAACCTTGTACTGTGAGAGGATTTGACCTTGGCATGTGTAATGGCGGACGAGAGCTACAAAATTAGGGGTGGCTGAGCACAGTTTACAGGAAGTCGTCTTGACTGTTGTTATTGTTTCCCTCCTAGGAAGTTGTTATTTAAGGATCTTAATTCTAGCTCAGAGATGTATTCTAAAGGGTCTTCTCTATTGCTTTTTCTCCCAAAATTAATCTCGATTCAGCTTGTCTACGTGCATTTGCTTGAGGAACTGAACTGTTGTTTTCATAGATAAATGAAGGACTGAGTTTCCTCAGCTCTGAAGAGAAAGGGCATTTTGCTCCTCCCAGCCAAAAGGCACCACCGGGTGCATTTTATGGATAAGCCTTTTTTTTTTAAATTAATTTTTGTTGGGGATTTCCCTGTAGGGCCACTGAACGTTTCGAGGGGTCAGTCCCCCAGATACTTGCACGTGGCCCCCAGTCAAATCTGCTGTTATTTTTCTATTAAGATAAAAACCACTGTTTGGATCCAACATGGTTTTTTTTGCAAGCTGGTGAATTTGTATTTACCTCATGACTAAGGTTCTGAAGTAAAAGCTATAGGATCTTTGTGTGCGTGCGTGTGTGTGTGTGTGTGTGTGTATTTTAAAGGCCTTTATAATTTCTATGATTTTATGTTTAATTGGCAATTAAATCCATTTTAATTTCCCTCTAGCACACCAAAATATTTCTCTCCATACCTTATGATGTATATCTTGCTATTTGATTTTCACCTGAGTTGTTTCCTTTAATATGCAAATTTAAGTCTATTTAGCTGACAACTGCCTAGGGTAGTGAAACAGGTTATCAAGAATTTGAAAGCCTAAGATAGGGAAAAATAAAAGGTTTTTATGAATCTATAAGATGTACATTGCATCAGCATGCCTAATTTGTCTATGTATTTATGTACCCAATGTTTCACTACTGAAAATATATGCAAGAGCTCTAATTAATTGGCTTAAGAAAATAAAAGCACTCGAATCAAATACTTTATCAGGAAAAAACAAAAGACTTGTCAAATTCTTTTTCTAGTTTACATAAGTTAAGTAAAATCTTTAATAAGTAAGCTAACTTTTAAATTATTGGTAAAGTAATATTAAAAATGTCTTAAGAATTTCCAGTATACATTTTTGTTTGCATTTATTAATCAAGCAATTTCATACTTATCCCTGCCAAATACTACAAGGTGTCAAAATTTGGCATAGGGGTTACAAAACCATAAACCTAGCCCAAAACAGAATGATCTTTGTTGTGTAATCTTTGATATATGAGACATTGATATTAGTTTAATGAAAATAGTGACATCTTGAATTTAGTAAGATTACCATAACTTCTAATCTTCTGGCTTTATGCAGTCCAGTCCACAGGCAGTAAGGTTTGTTTTGGGAAGGGACTGTTACCATCTTTGTTTCAAAGCCAAACTGTAAACTGAGTTCCTCCCAAAGTTAGTTTGGCCTGTGCTCAGGAATGAACAAGGACTGCTTGGAGGTTAGAAGCAAGATGGAGTCAGTTAGGTCAGATCTTTTCAACTGTCTCAGATATAATTTTGCAGTGGTGGTTCCATAACTTTAAATCATGACTATTGCAGTTTTCATAAATAATCTAGGTAAACAATTAAAATGAAATAATTAGGTAAATGTAATGGGATGAATACTTGTAGACAAACTCATCATAATTTAGACTCTAAAGTTATATTAAATTAAATAATAGATGTTTAAAATACTAAAAATACAAAAATTAGCCAAGTGTGGTGGCATGTGCCTCTAATCCCAGCTACTCAGGAGGCTGAGGTGGGAGAATCGCTCGAACCTGGGAGGCAGAGTTTGCAGTAAGCCAAGGTTTGCATCACTGCACTCCAGCCTGGATGACAAAGCAAGACCCTACCTCAAAAAAAAAAAAAAAAGAGGATTTATTTTAAAAAAACTTTCATATGATCAAGTTGTATATTAATTAAAGGGAAATTATAATGGTCTTTCTAGAGATTGGGCTTGATGCTAAAAAAAAAAAAAAACACTTACACACTAAATAATTGGTTAGAACAGTGAAATTTTCTTAAGGGATTGATTTATTCTTAATAAATTATAAGAGATTTTAACTTTTTAACCCAAAGTTCAATTTTTATTGCATCTTGCTGTTTTTGGTTTTCTCTCCCCTTTTAAAGAGCAAGAAATAGTAAGGCTCTCCAACTCATTTTTCAACTCATATAAGTTTTTCTTCTCGAGTTTTGTTTGTTGTGGCCTGATGCTAACAATGTTTTCTTAAAAGTCTAAAGGAAATGCTTTCTTCCAACATAATATTCTGTGCAGTGCCGAAGGTCTTTTCTTTTGCCTTTTGGTAACTGGCCTAACAGATTTTATGGTTTATTGAAACAATTTCTATGCTATTATTATTAAGTTTTGGGTTACTTAGGAAAAAAACTGAGATCAAAAAAATTTTTTTAATTAAGGTTATTACATTCATGTATCTTTCTGTATAGGCTTGTAAAGTCATTGTGACAAAGAGTTACAGGGCTTTGGCTCCTGGGTCTAAAAAGGACACCAATTCCTCCATAATCTTAAACACTCACAGCAATTAAAGCCTCATCTTCAGGCCCAGTAGAAGATGCCAATCAAAATAAACTGCATTCCTGAGACACAGGCCAGAAATTAAAGCTATCTAACTCCTCAAGGTCCAGGGACTATTGCAGAAGAGGTGGGCATGAGATTGTAAGGGCCAATGTTAAGAGATAAAATAAGTTCAGTTTCTCTATAAATTAATCATTAATGTCAAAGGCACACTGCTGCAAGACCAGCATATGGGCCCCTGTGTCAGATTAATAAGGTTTTCTTGAAGCATTAACCCACTCCTTAATAAAGGTTATAAAGGTTATAAAGGGCTTATTGAAGTTATATCTCATGTTCGATTAAAATTTTATAGATTGTTTATAAAATTTTGAAAAACAAATTTAATTGGCGTCATGCTGTTTTTATTAGGGCTTATTGTTTGGAAAATAAAGTCTCCTCTCTCAAAGAATGAAGGTTTTTGCCTTTTTTTGAAATTCTTGAGTTATCAGTTTGGTGAAATGAATGACTTATTTTACAATGATATTTTGCAATGACCTGTGATATCAAATGTTTTAAACCTTTGATATTTGACACCTTCCAAAATCAAATTATAAATTATGTCTTTTCCTGATCTAATTAATCCTTTAAGATATTAGGTTCCCTAAAGTCCAAAAATGACATAATTTGGCCTATTTGGTATAAACATCATACAGGAAACATTGTCAAGTGTGAAATGGTGTTTGGTTTTCTTTGAGCTGTATCTATATAAATATGTTATTGGTATGTGTTCCAAAATGATGGGAAAGTCCTATAATTCTGGTATGGCTTACTGTACATAATCAGTCATAATTATAATTGTTTCCTTAAATTATTGTGTGCCACAGAGACAACAAATTTCCTTGTCCATTGTGTCTTTGACCATGGTTGCCCTAAAACTTTTTGTCATCCATGGACAATTTCTGTCTTGTTTTTGTCCTCTTTAGAAGGTAGTTTTACAATCAGCTATAAAATTCTAACAGATGCTCTTGAATACAAGTTTCTGAAAATTTTGGAGATTGTGACATCAGAATAAAAGAAAAACTTTCAGGACTCATGGAGAACTGAAATGTTCGTGAATATCAAGCAGAACAGGAATTAACTACATGGACTGTTTGGTAAACATAACAGTTTCTCCCAATTGCGTCCTGTTATAATGAAAACGATCTTTTTTTTTTTAATAATACTTTAAGTTCTAGGGTACATGTGCACAACGCAGGTTGGTTACATATGTATAGACATCGCCATGTTGGTGTGCTGCCACCCATTAACGCTCGTCATTACATAGGTATATCTCCTAAATGCTATCCCTCCCCCTCCCCTCCCCAATAGGACCCGTGTGTGATGTTCCCCCTCCTGTGTCCAAGTGATCTCATTGTTCAATTCCCACCTGTGAGTGAGAAACATGCGGTGTTTGGGGTTTTCTGTTCTTGGATATTGCGAGATGATGGTTTCCAGCTTCATCCATGTCCCTACAAAGGACACAAACTCATCCTTTTTTATGGCTGCATAGTATCCATGGTGTATACTGTGCCACATTTCCTTAAATCCAATCTGTCACTGATGGACATTTGGTTGATTCCAAGTCCTTTGCTATTGTGAAAGGTGCCACAATAAACCATATGTGTTGCGTGTGTCTTTATAGCAGCCATGACTTATAATCCTTTGGGTATATCCCCAGTAATGGATGAGCTGGGTCAAATGGTATTTCTAGTTTTAGATCCTTGAGGAATCACCCACACTGTTCCCACAATCGTTGAACTAGTTTACACAGTCCACCAACGTGTAAAAGTGTTCCTATTGGTCCACATCCTCTCCAGCACCTGTTTTTCCTGATTTTTAAAATGATTGCATTCCACAGTGTGAGATGGTATCTCATTGTGGTTTTTTTGATTGCATTTCCTCTGATGGCGAGTGATGAGAGCATTTTTCATGTGTCTGTTGGCTTGTATGAATGTCTTCTTCTATTTGAGAAGTGTCTGTTCATATCCTTTGCCCCACTTTTTGATGGGTTGTTTTTCTTGTAAATTTGATGATTTCTTGTAGGTTTCTGGATATTTAGCCCTTTGTCGATGAGTAAATCTCAAAAATTTCCCCATTCGTAGGTGCCTTTGTTACTCTATGTTTTCTTCTTGCGTGCAGAAGCTCTTAAGCTTTAAATAGACCATTTGGGTAATTTTGTTGTTGCCATTGCTTTTGGTGTGTTAGACATGAAGTCCTTGCCCTGCCTATGTTCCTGAATGATCACCTAGTGTTTCTAGGGTTTTTAGGTTGTAGTTCTACATTTAAGTCTCTACAATCCATCTTGAGATTAATTTCGTATAAGGAGTAAGAAAAAGGGGAGATTCAG